TTATGAAACGTAACAATACCTAAGATTTTAACAACCAATCTTTTAACGTCAAGAGAGTTGCACTTGCTTTATCAATAAATCATGAAGTCATCTTTAATCTTTATATTGTGGATTCAATGGTTTATATAAACTTTATTTGATTTTACAACAATTTTGAAACAAGTTAGTTCAGCTTATATTAATCACTCTTGTTGGATCGGATGTTAGTGTGGGAGGACACCGGAGTACCTGGAGAGGCAGGGGATCCCATACCTTTTCACGTCCGATCGGGGAATCGAACCCCGGCCACTTTGGTGAAAGGCAAGTGCACTATCCACTGCGCCGCCCGACCACCATGGTTTCAATGGTTTATATATCAGTACTCGTCAGTACTCAGTAACATTCCCCATCTGTCCCCCATCCCCATTAAATTCTAAGGAATATGTAAATTCAGCCATTACATTGTTTTTATAGTGATATAAAATAGACAATGTACAGGGTGTCTCGCCCTAGAGAGTTATACAAGAAATTTCTAATGCGGGAAATCCTGGACAGACCTGTCTAGGGTAAGAGAGTACGTGTATCGCGAAAATCCAGGACAAACCTGTCTAGGGTAAGTGAGAAAGTGTACCACGAAAACCTGGACACACCTGTCTAGGGTCAGAGAGTAAGTGTACCACGAAAAACCTGGACACCTGTCTAGGGTAAAAGAGAACGTGTATCGCGAAAATCCTGGACAAACCTGTCTAGGGTAAGAGAGTTAGTGTACCGCGAAAAATCCTGGATACAAATGTCTAGTGTCAGAGAGTAAGTGTACCACGAAAAACCTGGACACACTTGTCTAGGGTAAGAGAGTTAGTGTACCGCGAAAAACCTGGACACACCTGTCTAGAGTAAGAGAGTTAGTGTACCGCAAAAATCCTTGACACACTTGTCTAGGGTAAGAGAGTTAGTGTACCACGAAAAAACTGGACACACTTGTCTAGGGTAAGAGAGTTAGTGTACCACCAAAAACCTGGACACACCTGTCTAGGGTAAGAGAGTAAGTGTATCACGAAAAAACTGGACACACCTTTCTAGGGTAAGAGAGTTAGTGTACCGCGGAAATCCTGGACAAACCTGTCTTGGGTAAGAGAGTTAGTTTACCGCGAAAATCCTGGACACACCTGACTAGGGTAAGAGAGTAAGTGTACCACGAAAATCCTTGACACACTTGTCTAGGGTAAGAGAGTAAGTGTACAACGAAAATCCTGGACACACCTGTCTAGGGTAAAAGAGTAAGTGTACAACGAAAATCCTGGACTCACCTGTCTAGGTTCAGAGAGTAAGTGTACCACGAAATTCCTGGACACACCTGTCTAGGGTAATAGCGTAAGTTTACCACGAAAATCCTGGACACACCTGTCTAGGGTAAGAGCGTAAGTTTACCACGAAAATCATGGACACACTTGTATATGGTAAGAGCGTAAGTTTATCACGAAAATGCTGGACGCACTTGTATAGGGTAAGAGAGTAAGTGTACAACGAAAATCCTGGACACCCTTGTATAGGGTAAGAACCTAAATTTTCCCCGAAAATGCTGGACAAACTTGTATAGGCTAGGAGCGTAAGTTTACCACGAAAATGCTGGACACACTTGTATAGGGTAAGAGCGTAAGTTTACCACGAAAATCCTGGACACACCTTTATAGGGTAAGAGCGTAAGTTTACCACGAAAATGCTGGACACACCTGTATAGGGTAAGTGGGTGGGACTAGAAAATCCCACAAATGTTGGATATCTCTGTCTAGGCCACGAGAAGAATCTTACTATCTCTACATTTAACTGCTTCCAACCTGTGATATTTCACTTTCCTCTGAAACAAAACGAGCGCCGTCCATGGTTCACATTATCAACATGACAATGAGGACGATGTGATTCTTACAAAGAGAAACGTCTCACAATTCTGTTCGTCGTTATTTTAGAGGTGATTGTAAGAGTAGATCTCTGAACTGCAGAAATTCCGTAGAGCGCGAGATAGCGTTCACGAGCTCTGCACAGTTTAGAATCCGTTTAGTTAGATTGAAAACACATTGAAACTATACAGTTATAATGTATAAATTTCCCATTCTTACCAGAGACGATTTTATAGCTGTTTGTTCTCTAGCATAGTTTACTTGCTTTGTTTGCTGAAACGGTCCTAAGTATAAGGTTTACATGCTATAGTCGTGTCCGTTCTAGTTATTGGGTTTTCGTCAAGGTTTTTGTTATTCATATAGATTGTATTATAGAGACATATTTTCAGAAAAGAATTTTAAAAATAGTTAAAAATAACCAAGGGTTTCAATTAATGTTGAACTCTATTCTAGTGTACTAGAAGAGATCAAAGAGACATAATAAATTATTATGATGATCGATCCCTGCGCAGGGTAAAGTGTGTTTTAAAGTACATCCTGTAACAGGGATGCAATCTTATCCTGTTCTCCGGAGAGCGCATAATACATCTACTGTTACAAAATACATTCCATACATACAACTAATTTTTTATTTTTGAAATATAGGAGTTTAATCACGGGTCGAGCTTCCTTAACTAGACAAAGATCGTTGTAACCGAACCCGCCGTACGATCTTATCGCCAACAAACTTATTACTACAGCCCCGTAATGAATAAGCATTCCACAGGTTACGTGTTTAATCATATTAAGTTTTCCACCTTGGGGTTCGTAAGGGACACAAACACAAGTTGTCACCATTTTTTTTTCTCGGGTCCATTATGAATTAAAATAAACCAGTGTTGGTATATTTCCTTAATGAACCCGAACGCGCTGATTAATTCAATTATTTGTTATATTTTATACTTTATTGTAGAATTTACTTAATAATAGTTTTATTTTACATATTCTATGAATACAAGGCATGTGCTAGTTGTTACAACAATCTCATTTATCAATGACAATTTTGTTTTGACTATCTATATTCAATATCAATAATTTGTAACTATAATTTAGTCAAAATATGTTTTGTAATGATAATATGCCGTGTATTTATAATTAAGTTTGTATACGTCGTCAGGAATCACTCCTAGGTCCTCGAGACATAATTATCAAATTCGTGATTATTGGCTTATTTTCCTAAGATTTTAGCTAGATAATCCATATTACCGCGGTGACAATTTATATTACCATGGTGTAATAAATGGTTAATGTTAAATTACGTTATCATGTTTTACGAGAAGTATCGCTGACACCAGTGCCTCTTTATCCCCAAACTGAGGGGCCGCGTCAGCTCCCTAACGATCTACCCCAATAAATCCATGTGTCAATCACCGGCCAACAATAGAACCGATAATATGTAGCGATAAGGCCAACGAGCTGGCATTTAAACATCTACCCAGCGCGGGTATATCGGGGGAGGCCTGCTCGTAAATAAAGCTTGTATTTGCCTGTATAAAGAATACTACGTCCCGAAATCACACGTACACGTATAGTAGCCACTGGGAGGACAGGTACGTCCATTCACGGCTTTGACGGTGCTTGTGTGGACCCGGACTTCAATTATTACGTAATTGATATACATGTGTGGACTGCTGACAGGTACCCGGGTTTCTTTACATAGGTGTTTGTATATATGTATGCTACCCGGAGTCTGACTGACACGCGTTGTGGGGCTAGCAGGCTTACGACATTAGGAATACCTATAGTGTGTGTAGCGTTCTTACATGGATTTCATGCCAGGTCGTCTACAGATAGCGAAAATAAGGTGGGTACATTTCTTAATTTCCAATCAAATTAATATGTAAGTAATTATTGTAACGCTGGATCGTATGTCAGAGAAAAATGTAATTTGTTAATCGCAGTGTTAATTTAACAAACTAATACAGCAACAAAAAATTGACTTAAAATGTAAATTAAGTGACGCCATTAATTAATTAATTAATTCCGGAACAAGTATTGGAGGAAGCATTTTGTTGAAATATGTCAGTAATTCTTACCTAGGTTATAATAGAGACCTGGAGTTTTTTGCGAAAAAAATACGTAAGGTGAGGATTGTCATTGAATGTAGATTCATGCTGCATTTTTATTTGTGGAAGTTATCGCGAGGGATTCTGATATAACCTGATATTTAAACTACCAATATAAGCGAGTTAAACACTGATTCAGTTCACTATGGATAGCTGGCTCACTTATGTCTCTAATTCGACAAACAGCAATAATTAAAAACTAAATACCACGTACCACAACAAGGTTTTACCAAAAATGACATAGTGCGATAATTCACAAGTTAATCCGACATACTGCAACAATTTATAAATAAAATCGACACACTTCAATAAGTTACAGTTAAAATCGACAGTCTGATATAATTTAAAAAAAATGACATCATGCAATAAATGATTTACAAGTTGAACCGACGAACCGTAACTTGTTTTGAAGTTTAGCAACATACCGCAATTATCTAAAGTAGCATCAACTAATTGGTTTTCTTTGTATATCTCAATTGCTCCATTTCCCAGTGAAAATATGTTTTGATTCGGAAAAATATACACGATGTTTGATTTCAGGGTATATTGCACTTAAGAATGTTGACATTGATAAAAACTCGTGCAATTCATGGACTGTTGTCTAATTGACACTTTTCATAGTCCCATTACTTCTGAAGATGGCTGAAAGTTAGTAAATAGTCACATACGTCACTATACATAATATCTGATAAAATACCACACTTTTCTTACGACAATCACGTTAAAGTAATTTCTCTCTTTCACATACTTATATGATAAAAACACTATATGTCATCATGCCTATAACTAACACCAATAATACAAATTATTTCCTAAAAGTTGTGATATTTCGAGGAAATGCTCTGGTAAGAAGTGATGTTACTATGTGTTCGTGACGGTATTGTGTCCGAGTCGGGGAGAGCAGGAGATGGAGGGGAGGGGGTCGTAATTCGAACCTTCGTAGGGGGGTAGGTGGTAGTCTTGTCTGCCAATGGTCTGTCAGTGTGTGATAGACGCAGCCCAGCCTCGTTTCAATCCCTCAGTTACAGCGTGTGTTTAGTGGCGGGATAGCTGCTTCAACAAACGCACTGCTCTAATACTTATTAATACATATACACACTCGGAGTAGCGAACTCTCCGACAACTTGTCAAGAACGCCGGCCAGTTTACCAGGATGTTGTTCATGAGTTGTTTCCGTGTGGTGAGGTCTACTTAAGTGTATACGTGGATACAATTTCCTCTGGAAAGCATAATACTTGGTTTTCTCACAGTTCGTGGTTGTAAGCGTGATACATTTGTGAAATATCATCTTATGTTTCTGGGTATGGACTACGAAGGTGAGTAGATACATCCGCATACTCTACGTTTGTGTGAAGGTTTATTTACTAAACCAGTTATAACATAAATATAAATAAGTTGCTGGACAGATACAATTTTTTTTATCTTCTTCTTCTTTTTTTTATATAAATTAGAGAAAACAGTTACATGTATGTCCAAGGAGTTGGATACTAATTTACATCTAAGTCCGTTGTATATGCGTTTATCAAACATTTATTGTTCTACACGTTATTTTTTTCTTAGTGTTTAATTTGCATGGTTTATAAGGTCTGATGTTGAAGAAGTAACTAATGTCTTTACAAAGGGGAATTGGTCTTCAAATGTATAACCACATCACTATAGGTTACTGAGGGTGCGACAGCGCGTTGACTTGGGCAGGACTCTGTGGGTGTTTCGTTAGGGCGAGATTAAGTAAATATTTCTATGGATTAACATAACCATAGGCAGATTAACCTGCTTAGAATCTGAGATTTACAGCTAAAATCTGTTGTTTATTTTTGCGTCACGTTAACGTGAACGCATTCCTAAGTCCGATTAAGGACCTGTGTGTTTTAATGGTTACACATTAGGTAATCGTGTTGTAATGACCTTAAGATACTGTAAGAGGAGATCAATGACTATACGTGTAAAACGATAACACATATCGGTAAAATGATACATTAATTACAAACACCAGTTAATACAGATTTTCACATGATAAATAAAATATAGAGCTTCAGCTTTCGGGGTGGCATATCTTAAGGAACGTAGACCGAAAACCTCATCATGTAAAATCTTAGTTCTCTGATTTCGACAATTTATAAACTGAATTAAAACATAAACCTTAAAAGCTTATATATAAGTTACTTTAAAAATAACTTATATAACTGTAGACTGTTGAAATTGGACACTATCATGTTAACTTTTTCACGCGGGACTGAAGTGTTAGGTCTACAAAGATCGACCATAGCACGGACTTTGAGCTAAGAAGTTGTTATGATCACGTAAATCTCATTATTGCTAACTGAAATAACAATCTCTGTTAAACAATTTTATGACATGAAAAAGTCTACTTTTAAAATAAAACTCAAAGTTTTAACACTTATAAATATTTTTATGTAATCCCATCCACGCTATTATTCCTGAAACTAAAATATTTTTACTGTATGTATTGCCATGATAATTTCGAAAGATACCTGTTAGTAAACTGTTTTTGTAAAACAGTTTCTTAAAACATAATATTTCTTCAATGGTGTTTCAGGTTGTATGCTTCTCACAACTTTCGTGGTATAGTCAGTGAGTAACATTGATTTATAACTTATATACCGAGAGGTCGGACAAGCTAGCATAGTAAGATGATTGCTTTACGGTCAACCATATCATTGTTAAATTGTACTTTATGATGACCTCTTGTTGCGCACAATAGTGTGCCTGAGTGATGATAAAAATCTCTGAATCTCTGACAACTCGTGGTATAAACATGTATTGAGAATCAGACACGTAAACATTGAGTCGGTTTCACATGAAGAAAAAATTAAGTTGAGATAAGTCACAGGTGTTTATTCATTAACTCAGTCTACCTACCGGGCCGCTAAGTGAAATTAACCGTACACTTAAATATCTCGCTGCTCTTATTAACTACAACTTTCCTTTAATTGGAAAATGTTGTAATTCATTTATGAATGTGGTGTTTGATATATTTCGTTGGATATTAGCCTAATAATTTGAATTCCGTTTTTTTTTTCTTTGAGCGTTTATTACATGTATATTACATAGTAAACGTGTTGATTTCGTGAGTAACCCCCGTCAAACATTGATAGAACAATTCGGAGCGTTTTATTACCACTGTTTGTTGTAAACATCCACTGGCGTAGACTCTAAATAAAAATGTATTTAAATCTTACGACAAAAGTTTTCGTTAAACATATTTGTTTAGTCAAAAGTATGTTCTGCACGCAATCTTGAACGATCCACCTGTTTCAGGTAGTGATTGATGATTTAAAATTGCATGTAGAAAACATCAATTGATAAAAATGGATGTTTTTATATAATTGTATATATTTCCTTTGAAAACTAAAGATTCGTTTGTCTGCACGCTACGTTTAGGAAAACATATACGTTACACATGTGCAATTTCTTAATTCTTTTCTTCATACCAGTCTGCATGAGATTAAAACCCCTGTCTAAACGCCTTTAAGATATATATGAGCCAGACACATTGATAAAAAGACACATAGAAAAACACACATTTCCGTTTTCCTTACAAATCCTGGCTTTTACCGAGTCTGTACCCTAACACTAAAGAAAATTGCGAGTTAATTTCACAAAGTCGCTGTCCAAGTCTTTAAGACAGTCTATATATCATCTTTGTCAAAATCCTTTTTTTTTCGTGAGCCGGAAGCATACATAACTTTTGTTCTTTTTGGCCTAAGAGGTCACAATAGAATCCTTGTCATAAGATGGTTTGTGCCACAGGAATACTGAAGCACACTCCTATAGCCTTACGGACACAACGCCTACATACGTGTCTAGTACTAACATGTAAGGAAAATAAGGTATTTTTCAATAGCAATAGTTTTAAAGACACGAGTTTCAATATTTAAACCGATCTCGCAGGATCTCCTGATAAAGAAGATATTCCGTCTTGGGACCGTCAATGTTTCGTATTTGTCCATCAGTCAACTTTTATCTGCGGGTTAGTGTACTTTCAGAACAAAATAAATTTCGTTTTATACTTATCCGTTGTATAATTTGGCTCAATATATCAAAACATAGATGTTGATATGTAAGAACGCGTCGGGTCCCTCACAACAATTTAGGAAAAGTGACGTTAAGAAACGATATAGTTACCATAAGTCTGAAAAGTTGACACCACAGGGACGTCTATCCGCCATTACGGTGGTATATAGGGCCCAAATCGGTACACACACAGAAAACGTGCCAGCTTTTGGAGGAAAGTGCACTCACGTTTGTGATAAATCACGATATTATCCAATATCAAGTGATCTTTCGGGTGATACAGCGGTGGAACCTTCGCAATCTAGACACACTCTTTATCACTCTTGACGATAATCAGTATACTGCAGTATCAGGAGAGATAGAGCGTAAGCAACATGGCTAAAGTAGGATTCAGAGGGGCCTCTGTAAATAAACTGGCCTAGTGACTTCATGAGAGTCTGACAGGGACTTGAGCAAGTCTTGTGACGTCAGCGATTATTTAGGTATTTATTATTGATAAATGGACAACGGTTATTTCAATTTGACATTCATGAAATCTTCAAAGCAGTAAGCTTTGTAAGAAGGGCTTCTAGATATTTCGAAAACAGATTTCCAGATATTTCGAAACTAACACAAACGAGTTTGGAAGCTGAAACTTTTTTTTGCTATATAAAAAGATATTTCAAAACTGAGTTCAGGGACTGGGGATACTAACAGCACTGTTTATTATACTTTAAACTGACTAGATTACTTTTATTGTACCGATTTTCCCCGCAGCAATAAATAGGCTGTATCCCCCAGAGGCGGGATACTTTAAAAATAAGTATTAAAATACTGCATGATCTAGCAAATTTATTCCATAATAAACTTCCTTTCATTGTGGCTGTCCGCTCCCTTTGAATCCAAACACGTGCGGATTGTATACACGACAAAAGTAATCCATTACACGTGCACGGCGTACTGCGCCAGCCATAACAAACCTTTGAACTCGCAGAGCCTTAGGGAACTGGCATTATGACACCCTTATCAAGTTGGCACACATCACCGGTCTTCCCGTGTACGCGCTAACCCGGCAAACACCAACATAAGGAACCGTAGACGGACGAGAATCCCGGAACGATAACAACGACCTTCAGATTCGAACGTAAGATATTTATAAGGCAGCGCGTGTCATAATTATATAATCATAATGCTGAGGGAAAAAAGATGTTAACGACAGGAATCTAAATATACACACCTGTACTAGTGTGATAGTAACCACGAACACAGTTTATTTCGATGATTTGTGCAGCTTGAATTTAAAGATGCTGAGTATATTCTTGACTGAGCTGTCAGAATTATTTGTAACGTACGTGTAGTTATAGATCATACTACCCACTAAATAGGTCCCGAGACTTTTGCAACAAATTGATTTCACAGGAAGATTGAATTATTTACAACATCCGAAGGTCGCGTTTAAATATTAACTACTCCCTTAGCAGTCGCTGATATTAATTGTCTAAGTGTCTGAGATCGATCCTCCAGAGTCTGCAATGTTGAACCTGTCCGGGGTTCAGCCTGCTGTCTGCCGTCGTACACACCGCGTCTTTCGACAGTTTTGATTTTTTTTCTTGTTTCAAATCACCATCTGAAGTTCATAAAGCCAATGACAAACAACCATTCCTATTCGCCTCTACTACGATACTGGAGGTCGTGTAGGCTAGTTATATGTCTATTCCATGGCATGTTCAATTTTCAAATATATTTTTGGGAACAAAAGCTGGTCACAGGGACGCTGATGCTCAACAAAAAGCTGCTTTGTAATACTAAAACAATTGTACCCCAGTTTTATGACAATGGGTCAGGTTTGTTCACCAGTTATATAATTGGAATTTGAGATAATTGAAGTCTGCATAGCTATGCCAGTGCACTGTTTTTGTGTCTATGTAATAGGTGTTAGTTACGACGTGTGATGGTCCCCCAGACATCAACCAAGTCATAAATGCCGACCCCACTCGACATGTAACCACGGGCGTCAGGGCGCACTTGTCCTTTGACACGTGTAATGACACAATAGCGTGTCGGATTCACAGACCCGCCACTCACCTCGAGGTTTAGAACGTATCATCGCTGGCACTATAAGCCAAAACAAGTCTATTTCTACCGAGACGATAATTTCACACCAACAAAAACGATGCAACGTTACTTATAAATGCGTTACGTCTCACTCTTGAATAACTGCAACCTTTTACAAGCGTCAGACAGGTCGAGACACTTTCAAACGTTCGCATCACCCGGTGTGCCACAGCGGTTAGCGCGGCGGTTGGTAGACTTTTTATTGATTAATTTCAAATCAAACCCCAGTAGACCTATATATTAACACTAACGAATAGGTCTTTAATTTTCTCCGATTGGTTTAGTCATCATCAGTTTATGTCCTTTTCTGTGTTGATCTATCGGTGTGATTCACACATACAGACTATGTTTCCTAATGGTTATACCATACGTACGATCAGTACACGTGCCGAGTATGGGAGCTGCAGAGGTGGTTATTTTATTGTATGTATGATTCATACACAACAGTTTAAATAATTTGCACGCTGATGGTATAAACACACCTATAGACGGTATAGAAGCGGCACCATCCTAGGCGTGTAGTCAGACGGGTAGCACCGACCCATTAAAAGTTGGCACTCTGGAACAGTAAAGGAGACATTTAGCTACGGCACACCCTAAACACTAAAAGTTGGCACTCTTGGACCAGTCGAGGAGACGTTTAGCTACGGCACTCTCTAAACACTAAAAGTTGGCACTCTGGACCAGGCGAGTCCCGAAAGGAGACAGGTAGCACCGCCACACTAAGGTAGGCACTGTCTGCGCCGACTTAACTCTACTAATGATTGGCGGTCTGGCACCTGGACGAAATTTTCTTTATTCACTATCTTCAGAATTGCGTATGTATTTCAAAAGGTCAACTCTTTTGTTTACTCTCCGGGAACGTTCTTTCGATAGAGTAGACAATATCTGTTACTGTATTGGTAGCTCCAGATGGGTTGGTACGACACTCTATAACGCTGTCGATATTATCTCTGCTCATTTTCATAAAAACGTTATCAAAGTTAGTTTTGAGATTGTAACTGAAAACAATATTATCTATATTCTAGCTTGCACTTTTGGTTTTTAGGGCTGAAACGGGAGCTTTACGCACATGCAAGATACTTTAAAATACTCAAAATTTGCGAGATGTATGCTTATTTCGTTAATTCGCAAGAGCCTGAACATCAAAGAAGTACATACTCCACTACTATGGCTATACGTCTCTGCGTAAATTGAGACACTTTCTATTGCAATATGTCTTTGTATTCTACCTGAGCACACATGTTGTTTTAAGTACGCATACTGTGTTTTGTACGATATAATGCTTATGATATGCCCAGACTCGTATCGACATAGTATATAGCTTCATCGCAAGTTTTCGTGCCAAGACATGACACAGATTGAAGCCCCGGTACAGACTGCACGCGGGCTACCTCCTGCTCGGCCCAGTCGGGGTAATGACGGCGGTATACTTTCCGTCTTATGTTGTCTGACGATGGGACATCATGCAGCGCGTTCATGTCTTGACCAGTTGGTACTTACATGTCCGAGGTTATAAGTATGTGTGTGGTAGAGAGATAATGAGGTATGGGTCACTTGGCACGTGCCGTACTCTGATGGCTGACCACCTTATGTTCTATCTGCTGAGAACACCCTGGTCGTACGCAATGCACCTGTGCCAACTCTTCCCATGTTGCCATGACTATTGTTCAACGGCTGCAGCGTCACATCATACAGTAATACAAGTTTATTAACAAGTATAATAAACAAACAGATGGAATCGATAGTTTTTCAATTTTGCATTTCTTTTTCAGCAATTGGGTGAAATATCCCACAAACATAATTGCGTTGTAGACCCCCTCCCAATCTTCTTCGACCCCGCGTTATTCGTTAAAGTCCAGTCCCACTCGGTGACACGACGGGGACCCTATTGGCCCACTGAGTACCACATGTGACTCTGTAGGTAACAGTGCCGTATACCACTTGTTAGTTCTGTCTCCACAGCGTACTTTATACCTTACCCACTCAGAGTTTGATGGGACTACTAGTACGGCGTTTAGTTCTCGTGTCACATAACTGACAGTCTAGGGGTAACAAGCTTCAGCTGGTGGTATCATTCTAAAATCAACATTTTAAATCAATGTTAGATAATAATGGTGAATAATTAGTATGTACCACTTCTTCAAACACTGTTGCAGATAACAGCTTCAGACAGGCTTTGGATTGTTTTGGGTTAGACTGGCTTCCAGACCTTCAGTTTTTATGAAGAGTTTACTACTAGATTATCTTGGTTTGAAACTGAGGATAAGACATCCAAGTGATCAAAATTATTTGTCTATTTTTTCAAAATAATTCAATATTCTAGACGCGTGCCCAGTCTATTAGATTGGAGCTTCGAACGGTGTAGGGTAATGGCGAAGAACTGCCACAGATGGGGACTTCAGAACTTTGTTACAGGGTCAGTAGGAACTTTGTAAGGCGGTAGATTATTAAAAAAAGTAAGTTTTTAAACTGAGCGTACATGACTTTTTAAAGATACTGAGGAGCTCAGATCTTCGGTAGCTTAAAACTGAGACGATATCATAATTCGCTGCCCCTCCCCCCTCCCACAAGCTACCAGAACTTTGACGACTGTATAGGTTGGAGATGTTCCAGTCCCTCCGAGTACACGTGAACTAGTACTGGTCACCATGGTGAAATACAGGACTTGGGTGCATCCGGTGCATCATACTTCGTCAGCTAAATGTTTAGAAGATATAGCCTGATCAGTTAGGTATGAATAACGTGACTACGACTTGATATTACCGACAACAAAAGACGAAATAACACACAAATCGTACAAAGTGGATGACCTTCGAACTTGTCTCAAAATGTTTATTAGTTCTAACGAAGTAGACTTCTGACTTGCTCCATCCACGGTTGGATTCTTCATCAAGCTCAGACTCGTGTGTCATTGTGTGCTAGTTCTGTAGTACATATTGGCAGCTTTTAATTAGTCATGTACACGGGTGTTGTGCCTGAGTACGCCATTGATCAAATATTTAGTAGTTGTATGTAGTAGCATTTAAAGTGACTAATTACCAGGTAAGTAAACCCCAGGTGAGGCGGCGCTGCCGATACATTGTTCACTAAAAACAATGTGAGTCATTCATTGACATGTATTTCTTTACATGTAATAGTACATTTCTCCACTCATTGAAACAAACCAATTCATCAAAAGCAATTCATTTCGAAAGGCAATCCCATTTAAAGAATACAACTTAACAAATGTCAAATGTTCATTTTTTAATTCAATATTAATCATCAAGTAAATGTATTGTATTTCCTTCTCACAAATTCCAGACCCCTTGGTCAGCTCCTACTGTGACGTAATCCCTGTAACCGTTTGAGTATAAATAACGGACGGCATTGTGGTGTTTGTATGTCAAGTACGAGATGTAAATATTCTCAGTAACGGCTACCTGCTAAGCTAATCTCCACTTACGTCACGCTGTTTTCTTCAGGTACCTTAGTATAACCACTCGAACTCGCCCTGTGTGTGATCTGTCTGCCCGAAATTATAAACCCTGGAACAAAAGACGGACATAATGACCGGAACATACGAATATCAATCGACGCCACGCATGTTGATCTAGGTCTAAGCAATAACAATAAGGTGTGATGATAACGTCGACTTACTCAGGTTGGAGATCAGCCGTATCCCGGGTCGCTATCAGGGCGGGTGCGTTCGATTGTTACTTTTAATACTCGTCTCCGATCACATAACAAGATGAACAGCGTGTTTCTAAACATCAAAGGTCTCTGTTACAATAGATTTTCAGTAGGATATATAACGTATTTAATAGTTTTGTTTACTTACATTAAAACGTATAGGTTCAGTTGTTTTCCTGTGACGTCACTGTGAGTCACAGCACCCGACCCGACCTGCGGACAGTCGACTATTCTCCATCGCCCACGGACAGGCGGGTCTGATTACATTAACTATTCAATTTCACTGTTTATATTTTTTTCCAGATAAACTTGTACCATGCGGAGGACCGCCAGAGCAGGACGATGTGCTGTGATGAAGTAAGGTGTGACATATAGAGACGAAAAATATAAGTTAGCTTCATTTAAACTAAGAAGAGGACACCATTTTATTCACTATGGATTTACGGCGAGTGTTACAAGGGATGTTGTGTTTGTCTGTGTTTGTTACGATGTTCTCCACAGTACCAGTACCCAGGAACCGGAAACGGAAGATGAGGCCGTGTAGGTGTAAAAAGTTATTTAAAGATATTAATGACGTTATTGATTCTAAATTTAAAACATTAGAGGAAAAGTTTGCGGAACGTTTACCAATTGTGAATGACTTGAGTGTTAATGATACGTTAAGTTTACAAGAAATGAACTCAAGAATGAGTCGATTATATCGGGACGTCCAGGCGACGGATGAAGTGTTACGGCGCGAAAGTCTCGCGCTTCGACAAGTGAAAGAACATATGCAAACACAGAGTGACACTATGGGGAACATGAGTGAGGGTCTTAGTGCTGTCGAAGCGATCGTCAGAAACTTAACAAAAGTTGTGGAAAATTTGAGAGTTATCTCTTCCAGTTCTATAAGTAACGCCATTGTGCATCAAACTACGACGATAACGGAAGTTCCTACTACACATGCGCCGCATCAACCAGAAGTACCATCACAAGTTGGTCCAGCGGCGATTGTTTATCCGAGACGTAAGTATAATTTCTTATTTTACAGTTATATTTTGTTGAATGACAAAATCTATGTTTCCCACACTGGTATCATCCGGTTCTTGGCTGCTGGGAACACTTTGACAGTGTTACATAACCGATATTATGATGGACCTATTCGCCACCCACAAACAGGAGGCTCGTGTTTCCTGTAAGCAATTAACCTCTATAATTACTTTACATTAGTCTTTCTAATTACGCCCCACGGATTGTACGCGTAACTGGTGAACTGGGGTGTCAGGACCAGAGCGATGCCAGTGCTCTGCCTCCTCTTAATCCCACAGCAACAGTAACTCACTCGGGGGATTAGGGTGCACGGATAAGCACCGGTTTATTGCGGTCAATGTTTGGATTACGAGCCCCCTGGCAAGTGTTGGATTTTGCTGACACCACGGGGGTTGTAGATACCAGTGGTCTGGAGTGTGTTTTAGTTGCCAGTGGAAGTCTGTTTACCCCCAGTTATCACGTCTAACAGGCAATGACTTTGGATATAAGTGCTGGTATTTCACTGACTATCGCCCAGAGTAATTGACTAGAATTTTTTAAAGATTTATATCTTTATAACATTTAATAGTCTTATTTGAAGATCTCTTTTGTCCTTCAATGTCTACACGAATTGTACTACACGTCACGTAAGGCTTAGATACAATTAAACTTTTTGGATATCTATACCAAAATATGCGTTGTCTTGTAAACTATTCAAACTTAAAATGAAAGTGTTTTTTTTTCTCTCTTTATGTTGTAAAACACGCGCTAAGAAGTTCATTACTATACACTATGTTCTCGACGTCGCTATTTCATACGCTCTTGAACCGATATGTTCATGTGGAATTCTGCAATACCGTGATAAATGTGTAAGTAATACGCCTTGAAGGTCGACACAAACCTCTAAACAATGAGTGTTTTGACCGACGGTCAGTACGCCCTAACACGTTTTATTGGTACTGATTCTCCATGCTACAACCGTCCAGCCTGTAATACGATACACACACTTTCTCTAACTCCGTTTTTATGGCAAATAACACACATCGTTTGCTCCACTTCTGTCTTTTCTCTCGGTTCTGACGGACTAATAGCATCTCCCCGATAATTACCCAAAGAGTCAATCGCGCATGTCCCAACATCTGCTGACACGCTTGGAACAGTTGTCTGCCTTTTGTAACCTTTCCTTTAGCGCTTAAGTAATCTGCATTTTGATTGGATGCAGACAACTTTGAAGGTTGTTCTGGTTGGTTTATTAGCATCACAGACCTACATGTCTTTGAACAACGATTATTATTCGGAAGGCCTCGCTGTGCTACCTATGACTTTTTCTCGTCGCTGTAGGTCCTCGTCAATGTTGTAATAACAGATGAAAAGTTCAAGTATTATTGTTGATATGCATTCATAAAAACGTGATTAATATGGCCCGACCGCCATAAACAGTGAACTGAGGGGTGCTCCTTTACGTAATTGTATGAATGGCATGAAGGATGAGTCATTCTGCTCTGATAGCATCCGGCGCAATTTTCTGTGTCGGATATAAACAAAACCTGGAAAACAGTCCTTACTTGTGATTTACAGAGCATTTCATTTAAACAAGTGCTACGATGTTTCGTAAACGTTAATCATATGTAGTTTCATTTTGGAAAAATAAGAGATTGACGCAGAGACGTATAATACGTATTATACATAATATACGTCTCTGATTGACGTTACTAATATATAAATTAACACTAAGATTGCCACCGACTTAAAATCTTCATTACTCATTTCTATTACTCTACTAGTTTGTTGTAGTGTTCCTAAAAACAAAAACAGGCGGATATGTAGAAAACGCTTTGGTGTAAACATTTGGATTTTAAATCAGAATCTTTAAAACAGTGCCAATTCTGATATTCGAAAAGCCGGAAACGGATGATTACTACGGACGGGAGTCAATTATTCCGGAAACCTATCGTAGGGAATCTCTGTGTGAGCTGTATGGGTATATGGGTCTCTGCCAGATGAGATAGGGTCAGGCTCGGGGCTAAACTTAGGCCTTGTACTGGAGTCCTTATCCTCCCTGATTCAGGCCTATCTCGTTGCCATCAGGGTACAGTGTAATAGTTTTAATTGACATAGTTGAAATACCCAAAGGTGTTAAGAGATAACAACGGTAATGTACATGTTTGATGTCTGTGTTGACATCTAATTTACAAAGTGGGTCTGGTCCGGAATGGTTTAAACTTCTTTATATATTTTTATCTCTCTGTGATTTCAGACATTTTATTATGAATCAAAATCAGTATAAGGCGTACTGAGGTACGCTAACTTATCAATGTGTCAACATATCCTAAAAATGGAAATTATAATCCTGTCCAGATTGGGCTAGTCGAGGTTTTTCTTGACGTAAAGGCAGTGACCAAATCTGTACAGGGAATATTACTCGGTTGAACCCAAACCCTAAAAGTTAATTATAAAGGGAATGCTTCTTCAGTAAACGATTTTATGTCCCTAAAAAGGAAATTTCCCTAAACAATGTTCTGGAGTCCGAATAAAACGATTTATAACAAATTAATTGATTAACTCGTCTTCAAGTTAACAAATGAAACGTACTTGTAAATTACTATCAATTGGAGTTTATTTAACTAGCCGTTAACCGAACAACTGTTATCAGAAACGATATCAGTACCGTGTTAATGTAATGTTTCCGGAACCGAGTAAATAGGAACCATGTACGTCAAGTATGGAGCTCGGGTTTTCACTTCTCATTTCAATGCAGAATAACACTACTTTGTATCTTTGATCTAAATTATGTGTAAAGATACGGTAGTGATATGTGTTACTGGGCGGTTGTTCAGTTTTACGGCGCAACTGCGGGCTATCTACTCTGCGTAAACAATCTGATAAATAATTGATATTTTTAGACTTTTATGTTTATAGTTTTTTGTCGTGCAGATCTGCTGAAAGAGAAATTAATGTTATCGAGTAAATCTTGTTTAAATATAGTTGTATTATTGTTAAATGAAGGGAGGTAGGATTTCGTTTACACAGAATAGCTTGAGGTAATGAAACTCTCCGGAATTACAAGATAACGGAACTCACGTTGATTCTAATGTTATCATGACCGATGTTATCACGCTGCTTCGGCCTGAGGGATCGAAGGGATATCCGGGCCCCTCTTCCCCAATTATGTTGATGAGATGGAAAGCAAAATACAAATTAAATAAATTTGTGAAGAAAATGGTTGCTATATGCACCAGTGATATGATGGTATCAGTTTTTGCTACTAACGACCAATAATTCCTTATATTTTTTTAAACGAAATGTTCGCGCCCTCTCCCCTCTCTTGAATTTCGTGAGCTCTCCCCTTCCGTCCCTCAATTGTACATAATTTGGAGGGTGATGTTGCTTTAGGCGTATCAATTCGCTGACGGCTGTAGCGTGACACACCTGATCGGGACAAATCACCGTTCTGTAGAGTCATATCAATCCGCAATCTTATCTAGTACCACATCTAACCGTCCAATCAGAAAGTTTAATGAAGCTTGCTGATTACTTGACGAGAAGGGTAACTTTTCCTCACGCTCACGTTTACTTGTATTGCACGTAACTAGCTTTATCGTTATTTTCTGAAACGCCCCTATTTAGCTACCCCTTCTGTATACCCACCCTTAGAATAGACACTCTGTTACGTTGTTGCTACTCTCAAATAGCTAATAGAAAGAAGGTATACCACCGAATCACCAATCAGCTACCGTTCTATACTCACTTCTTGCAAATGTAAAGAGCTTGTCAATACTTGGTCGCCATGACGACTTATTTTATGAATCCTGAAACTCTCAAACCGCTTGGTGTATTGACGCCTCTGTTTACTTTCAAAATTAGTTAAAAAGTTGTGATAGATATGCGATAGGCACTTGTTTTTCGATGATAATGTTTTATTCTGTCACTTTCATCAGACATAGTCATAGTCCTCGAGACGTAAACTGTGGTCACGTTTAATGAACTTGCACTGTTTAAAAGAAATGTGTCATTTGTGTGCTAAATTTCGGCCTTTGCAATCCAAAAGTGCATTTCAACGGAGCAACCACACATTGTATAATACAAACATGGATATCGGTCGTAACAGCTAAATACTGTTTTCAATGTGTTGTATACCGTTGGCCTATTACTCACACGCAATTACCCGAGTACGCAAGCTCACACAGGAGTATATTTACGAATGTTGACTAAACAGTAAAGCTGTTTTTATACATTGATATATAATAACCTGTTGCATGCCACATTAAAACTCGACAAATTGTAATCTCCGGCCGATCAAGGTTATGATACACCCGATCATATCTCAGTAAACGGCAAGTCTCACTCCCATGTCAGAACGAGGCTGGGGCATCCACTACAAGGCGAACTTTGTAACCAATCACATGAAAGAAACAATCACAAGTATTTCGAAATAATTTTTATTAACAAAAACTTAGCTATTAAATTGTTTACTTTACTTTGTTGGTGTATTGAAGAGATTGTATGTGTTAGATTAAAGATGATAGAAGAAGACGTTCCTTCTATTTTCTTAAACATGACATGTCGTGTCTAATTACATGGCTAAAAACATATACACCGTTTACTATAGGAACTATTCATAGAAAAAGAACCACAACAAACGATTTTATTACCAGGAAGTTACTCAAATATACAAGTAAACAAAGATATAAGCAGGAAATAATTTACACCAGTCTCTGCTGAATGCCATGTTTTATGATACGCGAGGGCAAAGGGAGGTAGGGGGGGTTGCTATCCAGACAGAACCTGTTGAAAGACTACATAAGTCCCAACACCTGTTGGCTAGCTTAGATCCTTGTCTGAATCAAACGCGCCGTGATTATGTTCCCTACTGAATAAAAACGCTCTGTGCTGTTTTAAGGTTTATTTCATCAATAAGTTTCCGAAAATACCTACTTGTATACACGAGCAGGGTTAACACGATACGAACACGGCAGGCCAATCTGGTGAAATTTGTT